GTTAGGTTGGGTTTTAGGTTTTAAGGTTAGGTTGGGTTTTGGTGGGGTTTGGGGGTTTGGGGTTCGGGTTTTGGTCGGGGTTAGGTTGGGTTTTGTTAGGTTAAAGTTGGTTTGGTCGGGTTTAAGGTTGGGGTTTAAGTTGGGTTTAGGTCAGGTTGGGTTTTGGGGTTTTTTTGGTTACTTTCGGTTGGGTTAGGTTACGTCAGGCCCGGGGGTCGGGTTTGGTTTAAACGTCAAGTTGGGTTTTGGGTAAGGTCGGGGTCGGGGTTGGGGTTAGGTCAGGTGGGGTTCGGTCAGGTCAGGCCGGGTTTCAGGTTGGGTTTTGGGTTGGGTTTTGGTTTTTGATTACTTTAAAGGAAATTTTTGGGTTTTGGGTTTTAGTTTAGGTTGGGGTTTGGGTTAGTTTGGTTTTAGGTCGGGGAAAGGGATGGGGGAAGGTTGGTTTTTAGGTTGGGTTTGGGGTTTTTGGGTTTGGGGTTAGGTTGGTTAGGTCAGGTTATTTTAGGTTAAATTAGGTTCGTAGGTTGGGTTTAAAGGTTTTAGGTTACCCCCGGGTTTAAAGGTCGGGTTTTGGGGTTAAAGGTTCGTCAGGTCAGGTCGGGTCAGGCGGGTTTTGGGTTTAGGTGGGTCAGGTCGGGTTAGGTCAGGTTTTGGGTTTTAGGTCAGGTCGGTCGGGTTCAGGTTGGGTTTGGGGGTTTGGGTTTAGGTTGGGTTTTAGGTTGGGGTTTAGACAAAGGTTGGGTTTTAGGTTGGGTTTCATTTTTAGGGGGGGGTTTGGGTTTAGGTTAAGTTGGGGTTGGGTTAGGTTGGTTAGGTTGGTTGGGGTTCGGGTTTTAGGTTATTTTGGGGTTTAAGGTTACGTGGGTTTAAAGGTTAGGCTGGGTTTTAAGCCAGGTCATGTCGGTTTTGGGTTTGGGGGTTTTGCGTAGGCGGGTCGGGTTTTTAGGTTAGTTTGGTTTTGGGGTCGGGTTTCGGGGTCAGGCCCCGGTCGGGTCAGGTTTGGTTAGGTTGGGTTTTGGGGTTAATTTTGGGTAAGGTTCATCGGGAAAAGCCCCCCCTAGGGGTTACAAACTCAGTTTTGACACACATGGCATTCTGAATTAGCCCTCCCTTTTGCTGTGCCCGCAAACGGGTTTTTACATATATTATATATATTTTTAATATAATATTTTTAAATTATATATATATATATATATATAATATATATAAAATATATATATTATAATTTTTGAACATCATCAAAGGGAATTTTAAAAAACAAGTGATAACTTTTTCCCCCGCGGGTGGATGGGTTTGACAACATCCTTTCTGGGGGGAATTTTGGGACACAACCTTTTTCCGGGGCCTTTTCAACACAACCTTTTTTTAAAGAAAATTCATGACACATCCTTTTTCCCAAAGCGACCATCAACAAAACCTTATTCAAGCAATATGGCCTTCCTTTTTTCCCAGGACCATCTACATCCTTGTTCTAGCGACCATCAACAAAACCCTTTTTCCAGCAACCTGACACACTTGTTCCAGCGCCCCATCAACACATCCTTGTTCCAGCACCATCAACACATCCTTGTTCCAGCGCCCATCAGAACAACCTTGTTCCAGCGCCCCATTAGCACAATTTATTTCAGCGATCCATATAAACTTTTCCCAGGACCATAAACACAAATTTGTTCCGCGACCCATCAAAAATTTGTTCAGCGCCCGTTAATACAACTTGTCCAGCTGAAAAGGGAACAACTTTTTTTTAGGGGCCCCTAAACACCCCTCCCCCATTAATCACTAAAGCATCGCCCCCTGTTAAAAGCTTGCAAACATCGCTACCCAGCCTAACAAAAGGGAAAGCTTACCAAAGCAAAAAAGACTTTTGGCTAAGTTTCTTGTTTATAGTGAGGTTTTATTCCCTTTTATTTTGCTTATTCAGGGTCTATAACTTATGTGGTGTTGCAAGCCTGAAGCCTGAAAGAACAAGCCTGGGACTCCCGGGTTATTTTTTTTTGTGCTTTTTCTTTAAATATTTTGGGTGTTTGACAGAAGCATCCCAAAGAGGAAACCAGCTGAACCTGGTCAGCAAAAAACAGAGCAGTGAACACTAATACAGTTAAAGACTAGCTGAACAATAGTCAGCATATAACAGGCCAGCTGAACACTAGTCAGCTTTAAAAAGCCCCATTGAACACTAGTACGCATATAACAGATCAGTGGAACACTAGAACAGCATAAAACAGGACTTTGAACACAATCAGCATATAACAGACCGGGGAACATAGTACGATTAACAGGACAGTTAAAACCTAGTCAGCATTTAATAGCCCCAGGGAACCAGTACAGCATTAACAGGACTTTGAACACTAATCAGTTTAAACAGACCGTGGAACACTAGTACAGCTTTAAAAACAGGACTTGAATAGACAGATAAAATTTAGACCCCCTATTTACTAGTACCACCTCGAGGTTCACCACTCAATACTCGTACAAGCTACAGAATGTATTAGTGATTTATATTGTAAAGGAATGCACCTCCAAGGCTCGGGAAATTTACAGCTCCCCCTGCCCCGTGTTTCTTTCCTATTAGTTTTGTGACGCGTTTTTTGTCCTGCCCAAATTAAAAAGTCTTTTTAAAATGAAAAGTAAATTTTATAGATTTGCAGTGAATGGATAATTTTTTTCTGCGTAAAAAAAAGGGCTAGGGAAAACGTGAAAATTCCGGAGGTGTCTGACGCCGGGGAAGGGCCTTTATGTAAAAGGATTCGGAGTAATTTTTAATCCATTTTAGATCAAACTTGATTACTTTTAGGGCATATGATCCCTTTGGGTCAAAAAACCTCCAGAGGGAAAGAGATAAATTTTATAATTTCACACATATATATATAATATAAATATATATATAAATATATATAAAATAAATATAATTATATATATATATATATAAAAATATATATATTTTAAATAATATAATATTATATATAAAATATATTTTATATATTATAATATATATATATATTTTATATATATCCTGGGATCTGATGTGAGGTGCTGGCCCCAAACCCCTTTTATGCTTTATTGGATGCTTCACTTTCATGTTCCTTTTATAAAGTGAGTGTCACGAAGCATTGGAATTTCCTATCTTTCAGGTGGTTTTTTGCATATAAATATATATATAATTTTAATATATATTAATTTATATATATATATTATATATTATGGTGTGTGGGGGGTGGGGTGTGTGTGTGTGTGTAGTGGTGTGGGTGTGTGTGTGTGTGTGGGGTGGTGTGTGTGTGTGTGTTGTGTGTGTAAAAGATCACAGTAAAAAAGGTTTTATTTTAAATATGCAAAAAAAAACCCCTGTGAAAAAAAAGAGAAGTTCCAAGTGCTTTCGTGACACTACATTTTTCCTCCATTATCCTTGATAATGTGGTATCACGAAAGCGCTTGGGAATTCTCTTTCTTTCACGTGGTTGTTTTGCATATATATATATAGTATGTTAAAATAGTATTTGAAGTGTAGCAAGTTGTGGGTTTTTAAAGGGATTGGGATCTCCGGGGTTATCATCTCGGGCTCTGAAAATGAAATTTTTGCTTACGGGGTGTTTTACGTTTCATTAGTCAAGGAGTTTTAAAAATTTTTCATGGAAGCGCTAAACAGGCGGATTAATACGTACCGGGAATAGGATACAATAGCTTTGATCCTAAGAAAGATTCCTGGGGAGGGTAGCTTTATTTTTAAAACAAGAGCATCTAAGGATATCAAATTCCCTTCCTTGATGGAAAACTTCCCGAAGCCTCACCTCCCCCAGGAGCTGGTCCACAAATTGGTTACAAATATCCAGTCAAGGACCTAGGACCGAAATGTCTTCAAGAAAAGTGTTCTAAACTTAAGTATTCGTGCAAAACAATCACGGGGGAGAGTTGAACAGTAGCTCTAGGCCTCTGGTTTTGCAATCAACACACCATCAGGAGCTTGCAATGTTGCAGAAAAGAAGAGGTCCAAACAGATACGATCACAGGAAGTGCCTCTTTACTACAAAATTTCAAGCTCCTGATGTGTTGATGCAACACGAAAGGCGTAAAGCCATCATTCAACTCTCCCCCGTAGTTGTTTTTAATCTTGTATTGCTTGTTCGCGATATTTGCATATTATGTTTCCGTGTCCATCCCTTCTCCCTGTCTATCACAGACGTTACTAGAGGACAGTGAGAGCAGGATATACCACCCCTCCCATAGCTGAATGTGTACTGGCCAGCCGCTGGAAAGGGTGAGGCTTAAGAATGCTTGTATGCGCCATAATGGCTCTTAATCTAAAAATATGTATAAACTACTCTCCCTTTCTTAGGCTCAAAACTGATTATCTCCCATTCCTCAGATGTTTTATGGCCCCTACCTGTTGAGTGCTTCCCGTGAAAAACACTTACATTCCTGACGAATATAACGCCAATATTCCAACAGCCACCAATTTCACAGTGTCAGTCCCAAGAAGATGATCCCCTAGAGAAGATAGTGGGAGGCAGCTGTAGTGTTCTGCGGTGTTGTGTCGACAACAACTGTCTCTGCCAGGCTCCTGGTGTTTACCTACATAATGCTGTCTCATAATTTAGAAAAATGAACACACATGAAACTCTCTGAATATTTTTACTATCGAGAAGGTTTTTTTTTCCAAGCTTCAGTGTGCATTAGCAGTGCAGGAAAGAACAAGGCAGTATAGGGAAGTATAAGGCAGTACAGGGAAGTACAAGCAAGTACAGGGAAATAAAAGGCAATATAAGGCAGTACAAGGCAATACAGGGAAGTATAAGGCAGTACAAGGCAGTACTGCCGAGGTGCAACGGAAGTTTACAACAAATATTTAACAAAATAATTTTTTTCACACACACACACACACACACACACTGTTGCGGTCCCCTACCAAACTAGCGGTTAAATGGTTAACCTGCCGGCCGGCAGTACCACTGGGTACGTCATCAAACTCAATGTGGGGACTGCTGAGCCGGCCTTAGCAGCAGTAGGTACCTGAACACCTCACGGTACACATCTACTGGCTTTAGAAGCAGTAAGTACCTGAACACCTCACGGTACGCATCCAAGCAGTAATTACCAGAACACCTTACAGTATAGATCTACTGGCAGTAGAGAGTATTCTCCTGCCCATCTTGTGGTATATCTACTGGCCTCTACTGGCGTTAGAGGAAGCGCTCACCGCAGCTCACTGAGTCTGATGGCCTCAGTTACTTGACGGCCGCACTCAGTGAGCTTGCAGCATGGTGTTCTGCTAGTAATTCATCGGACCACCTTGCGGTGTGTCAATTGGTCTTGAAGGCGGTAGATAGTACTCACCAGACCATCTTACGGTGTACTTCTACCGGCCTTAGAGAGTATTTACAGGACTACCGGTGATGTCTGCGGACTCGCCGCCTACGCTGGTCAACTGTGGGCCGGAGTCTTCTGATGCTGTTTTAGTGGGACATTACATGAAGAAAAGGTTGGAGTGTTACACTGAACTGGGCTAGGACCGTAGTGTGACACTTAGGGAAGTATGATGGAGTGGAACACTGAGATATGTTACAGGACCGTAGTGGAACACTGAGAAGAAAAGGGTGTCGTGTGACACTGAAGATGGTCAGGTTGTAGTGTACATTGAATAGTGTCATGTGACTGGCCTCGAGAAAGACGCTGTGGGTGATAGTGTGCGACGCAGAGACAAGGGTGTCAAGAGTGACACAGTAGATATTGTGTATGACGCAGAGAAAAGGGTGTCGTGTGACACGGAGAGTAGGAGTGTCATGTGACACAGAGAAAAGGGTGTCTAGTGGACACGGTTGAGCAGGAGAGTCATTACACGGAAGAAAGGGTGTCAAGTGACACAGTTGAGAGGGAGGGTCACAACACACCATGGATAAGTGTCGTGAGAGACACGGAGCGTCATAAGGAGTTGATTGTAATATATTATTGTAAATATGTTATGTATAATTTATTATTTTAGCATTATATAATATACATATGTGTGTGTGTCCTGTTAATTTACACTGAGGATTAAGCTCCTGGCCAGCGAAAGGGAGGGAAATGTGAAAGGGAAGAAGTGTGACTGAGAGAAGTGCGAGAGATAGAGAGAGGCGTAAAGGAGAAAGTTGAGGGAGAGTGACATTAGGGAAAGGAGGTGTAAGGGAGAAGGAAGTGTGAGAGAGAGGGAGGTGTAAGGGAGAAGGGGTGTGAAGGGAGTGAGAGGTGAAAGGAAGAAGTATGAAGGGAGAGGGAGGTGAAAGGAAGAAGTATGAAGGGAGAGGAAGGTATAAGGGACTGGTAGGTGTAAGGGGAAATTTGGGGGTGTAAGGGAGTGGAAGGTGTAGAGAGTGGGAGGTGTCAGGGAATGGGAAGTGGAAGGGAGTGGAAGTGGAAGGAGTGGAAGGTATAAGGGATTGGGAGGTGTAAGGGAGTGGATGGTGTAATGGAGTAGGTATAAGGGAGTGGGAGGTGTAAAGGACAGGGAGGTGTAAGGGAATGGGAGGTGTAAGGGAGTGGGAGGTGTAAGGGAGTGGATGGTATAATGGAGTAGGTATAAGGGAGTGGGAGGTGTAAAGGACAGGGAGGTGTAAGGGAGTGGGAGGTGTAAGGGAGTGGGAGGTGTAAGGGATGGGGAGGTGTAAGGGAGTGGGAGGTGATCAACACTCTACAATAGTGTAACAAACGAGCTGTGAGGCCTGGGACCACTTTCCTTGATCACCTCTGAATTACTCTCTCCTGGCCACCTGCTCTGCCTTCCCTCACCCACTCCTTCCCCTCACCCTCTCCCTCTTCCCCCACCTCAACCTTACCCAAAAAGTGTCTTATTTTTCCTTATATCAGCCAGGATGTGGTGCTCAAATTCGGACTGTGTTTAGTGAGCTCCACCAGCCTGATTCATCAGATCTTCAGCTCAGTGGGCTGGCCTGGGACCGGGCTGTGGGTGTGATGATTTCCTGAAGCATCCTCAGGAAAGCCACAGGTAAATGACAGATACAGTACAAGTGTCACATCTCTCTCTACTCTGGCTGTCTCTCTTGTTTAGTGTGGTCTGTCTTCAGTATTACTGAAACAATCAGCAACGTCTCTTAATTATACTCAATATACATTATATGCTGGTGATTGAACATTAAAATGGTATAAAATACCGACAGGTTGTTAGGTAAGACACATATGCAACAGTTAGGTATCTTTATTTCGTAGGCGAAACGTTTCGAAATAAAGATACCTAACTGTTGCATATGTGTCTTACCTAACAATATGCTGGTGATCCTGATTCAAGGAACTGCAACTAGTATCCCATTGCTTGGATCAAACCTGATAACCATTCATTCTCCAATCGTTTCTTTAACCCATAATGGCTTAGCGCTTCTTTCGTAAGTATAAAAATAACGATGATGTGTCTGTACTCCCTTTCACAGAGTACGGACAATTGCAAGTTTAAACTACAGGGACTTGAAGTAATAACATCGCAGTCTAATTCTAATATTAATGTGTTTTTGTGTACTG